GGCCCGCCGCCTTCCGGCCGGGAGCGGGCAGCGCCGGGCGGGCCTCAGCCGTCCCCGGCGGCCGGGGGAAACATCATGCGTGTTAAAGCAAGGAGTTAAGCAGCACCTGGGCTGGCCTCTCCACGCCCCTTCCCACCCACAGAGCTGGGAATCACGTTATCAGGGACAGGCGGGGTCACGAGGGAAAACATTGTGAGAATCCTTTATGAACGCAGAGTCGACGAGTCGGCGTTTACCGGAGTGACGGGCAGTGTTCGTGCCCTGGGAGGACGTGCTGACCTCCGCCCCCTAACGGCCCGAGCTGGCCACAAAAGGATGAAGCCACCGGGATAACAGTTCTTTCCGTATAAACTCTTACCAGAGAGACCTGCTTTTCCCTGCCTAGTGCAGATGGAGAAGTAAAGGAAACTTCCCTGCTCGGATTTAGCTTCCTTTGCCCTGGGAAAGCAGCCCCGGGGGCTGGCAGTGTCACAGCAGGGTCAAATCTGCTTTTTCCTTCCCCTGGCACTGCTGGAACTCTCGTGGCCTTACCTGAGTCCTCAGGTGGCCTTTGCGTGTTGTCCCACAACATCCCAGCGCCTCCGCAGCCTCCCATCGCCACAGGCACAGGTGGGAGGGGTTTGTGTGCTGCCCTCGCCTCACACCTGCACTGTTGTGCAAACACGGTGAGCAGAGCCCCAAGTCACCTGTGCAGCAAACACCAAGCCAGGATTTGTTAAAACCTGCCTGGTCTGGATCTCTTCCCCAGTGCGAAAACAAACAAACAAACATCCTTCCGGGTGATCAAGAAAGGTCGGGGCAGCACAGCTCCTTCCTTTGCAAAATGGGTCATTTAAATACTGATTTTCAGAGTTCAGGAGAAAACAGGGGTTTGTGCAGAACAACGTGGGGTGGGGGAGATGGGAGGGGCAGTGAAAGGTTCGGATTTAAACACAACAGCTCGGGTGCTTCATTCGCACCTGATCCCGGAAAAAGCCCCGCGTGGGGAGGCGGTTGCCCCGCGGTCCCGCTGCTCCCGGGGGGCCCGGGGCAGGGGGAGC